TTTTTTTTTTTTTTTTTTTTTTTTTCAGTGCTGGGGATCAAACTCAGGACCTTGTGCTTGCAAGGCAGGTGCCACACCACTGAGCTAAATTCTCGACCCTACTATTCATCTTTTTAAAAATTAAGAATTATCTCAAATATCTAAAAACTAGAGAATATACATTGGGTAGTATAGTAGATACCTGTGTCTCACCAGTCAGACTAATAAGTATTAGCATTCTGGTACATCTGCTGAAGTTTTACATTTTAAAGAAATAAAAGACCACACATTTAGCTCAGATCCTTCTGTTCCGTTTCCTGCACCCATTTCACTTCCTCCCTCCCCACAGGCAGACACTCCTGAAATTGTGCATCTTTCATTTCCAATGTTTCTATACTTTTGCTTTATCCAGGTAACTCATAAGCAATGTATATAATTTAGATTTTCTTTTAATTTTATATTTAGGTTTTTTTGTGTTTGTTTGTTTGTTTGTTTTGGTATGGAACTCAGGATCTTGTGCGTTAGGCATGGTGCCACTGAGCTAATCCTTGGTCCTTCTTTTAATTTTAAAAGACAGCTGATGAAACACTGTGGCTTTCTTTTTGTACTTTTATCATTAACGTTAGCTGTTTTTGAGATATATTTGTATCAGTAAGTAAAGATCAAGTTTATTCATTTTAAACATTCATTATCGTTATATATTGTACCTGTTCCCTTATTGATGAACATTTAGTTTTTTGGGGGGGTACTATTCACAGAGCTATAATGGCAGATCTTGTATGTGTATCTTTATACAAAAGATTTTCTCGAACAGTAGTTCCCCTGGATGGTAGTACCGGCCCTAGCAGGTATTTTGAAATCTGTGAAGCGTATTTAATTATGACTGTGATTGGAACAGGCTAATGAGGTCTACAAAGCAGAGTTGAGCATGCTAGATATTCTGTAATGCATAGAACAGTCCTCAAGTGAAGAATTACCCTGTATCCTGTACAACTTTTGAGTGTCCCATAGGGTATTCATTTATAATTATCTGGGCCTAGAACTTAACTCTATTTTTTGTATTAACATAATGTATTTTTTGGCACAATTTAATATAGTAAAATTTCCAGGAATGTAACTCTAATGTAAATCAAGGGAAAATTATACTAATTTGTGGTTTGGAACTTTAACAAGAGTTGTTCCTCATTCTAGAAAAATCACATAACCGAAGGCTGCACAGCTCGTGGTATTTGAGTTGCCAGTACAACACACCTGCGTAGTCTGCGTTTGTAGCTTTTGCGTTTGTGGTGATTCTAAGTTTAGGTGCAAGCATCTGACTACTGTACTTCATTATGTATTCTAGTGTAGTCAGCCTGAACATTTGTGTATTTAAACATATGCTATTTCATTATAAATGACTTCCATTTAAAGTCGGCTTCTGAATATGATACAAAGTAGAGGTCCAATTTTATTATTTTTCAGCCAGATAATCAGTCATCCCACCACCATCTATGCAGTCCTTTATCTATTGCGTCACACAGCCACCGCCCTCCCCTATGAAGTTCTCATAAATGCAAGGATCTGTTTCTGGATTTGATGCCACTGGTCCATGTGTCTTTGTGCCATCATCACACTGTTTTAATTACCTTGATTTCATAATGTATCTTGTGGCAGTTGGTAACAAGAAAGGCAAGTTGCCATCCTAGTTCTCAAAATTGTTCTGGCTATTCTTGGGTTTTTACTTTTTCATATGAATTTAGGTTTCATTTTTATGCTACACACACACACACACACACACACACACACAAACCTTCAGATTTTGGTTAGAATTGCATTGAATTTATAGATTAAGGAAAATTGAGATCTTTTAATTTAACCACCCCATCTAGGCACATGTTTTTTTCTCTATTCAGGGCTGTTTTATGGCTCTGTCCAGGTACTTTTAAAGTAAAATGTCTTTGAATAAAGTTTTATAATTTAGCTATAAAAATCTTTTGTTATATTTATTCATACTTATACACTTATACAAATATATCTTTTGTCTTAGTTACTTTCTCATTGCTGGGCTAAATGCCTAACACCCACAAGTTAAAGGAGAAGAGGTTTATTTCGGCTCACAGTTTGTAGAGGTTTCAGCCCATAGTCGGGCATTCCAAGGTA